ACTATTGATTCAGAAATACATTTTGACCATGGCTACTGCATGTTTCTCTAATGGATGATAGAATTTTGGAATTGATTTGAAAAACTAAAATTTCTCTTTTTTTGTTGTGATATTTTGAAAATCATAGAGCTTGGGGCATATTCTCGCTTTTATCTTTCTTTAGATGCCACTGTTGATACTGTCATTGCAAATGTGTATTAGTTATGCATAATAAAGCTTTGAATGTTCTTAATGTTTCTTGCCTTCCTCATAAAGAAGCTTTAGTAGTTTTTATCATGCAAGGCTTATATTTATTTTGGCTTATCTAATTTTCTATATGCGATGTTTACTGCCTTGTTTGATCTTTATGGTTAAATTAGCTGCATGATGTTCTACGTTGCCCTTAATCACTTTTGTTATCATTATTTTATGTGATATCCTATACTAATTGCAATAATATTATACCTGTTTATGGCTCCTTGTAGACAAAAAATATTGAAAGCAGTAGAGTTATATGCTCTAGTTTTCATTAATTTTAAATATCGATTACAGTTCATTTGGGATAGGTTTTTTATTGTTTTGTTTTCAAATCGTACTTATAATTTTTGTTTGACAATTGTTTATTTTTTACTATTTTTAACAATTTTTCTTTTGTGCATGAAAGTTACTTTCTACAACAGCAGCTTCTAAAAAATTGCTTTCTCAACATTAATCTTAACTTAAATTGAAGAATTTGAAGCCCATTTTTATTTGTTTTATATAATTTATCTTTTATTACGCTAATCTCGATGCAAATCGTACGATTTTAAGATATCTAAATTAAGTTTTTTCAAAATCGCTTTGTTTTAGGCTTTGTTTGTTAAAATTTTATTATTATTTCCTAAAGTAATATTTTCTCAAAAAAAAAAAAAAAAGTGGTAAAAAATTAAACTATCCCAAATAAAACTTTAATAACCAAAATACTCACAAAGTAGGGTAAGGGATTTGAAGATAGGAAGGAGAGACCAATCTCTTGGAATCTTAAGAAAAATTTCTTTATTGTTTCATATAAATATCTATAGTATATTTTTTTAAAAAAAAATTCATGATATCATTTTTTTATTCCTCTCTAAACAAGGAGTTGTGTTAATTCATACAAAAACTAAAATTTTTTCTTCCATCTATTATTCATTAGCTTAGCAGATCTTTTAAATTGGGATGACTTTATTATTACTTTTTAAAATGGTATTTATTATAAAAAAATTTTAAACTAAAAAAATTTGTGTTACTATTAAACAAGTATTGCCTGTATCACAAACGTTAAAGCAAAACAGAATATGAAGAGAACATAGATATGTAAATGAGAAGATGCAGCTGTAAATGGTTCTCCTCCATTCATAGTATAACAATTTAATATAAGTGTATATATACATAAGATTAAATAGAACAAGCCTTTTCAAACTCTTGCATTTCTTCAACGTTCATTTCAGAAGAGGAGAGATCGAAAATTCCATCTTGGATAAGTTGCTGGAAATAAGAAAAGTTTTCGATGAACTGCAGGCTAGAAAACAAGCTTCTGAGGCTGCAAATGTCAAATGAACCTATTAATGGATTTGGCGAGGTGCATATGCATTAGCTATCTCAAAAACATGGTAAACTTAATTAAAATTTTTTTGATAATATGTGTGTAGATTGCTATTTGGCTTGCTTCTATAAATAGTGTTTTATGAATTATGTAAAATAACTTTTTTGTATGAATAAAATTTACCATGAATGTGAAGACTCTTCTTCATTTATTATGAGATTTTGATATTGTATTTGGTGTTAGATAACCCCCTTTTAGAAGGGTCAATCACCTTTTTATATGTGAGGGTTATTTATTAGGTTATTATTTCTTAATATTTTTAAAATTTTCCTTCTTTATTAGCTTTTTGAGCTCTTTGTGGTAATCCTGCATGCATCAAATAAGGATGTGTAACATGTCGATATATGTAGATGCTGATTGTCATTTTTGATGGTTTCTTTTTCTTGAAGTATGTCAAAATTTAGAGTAGGGGTAATCCTAGCTAAAGGAGAGAAACCCTAACTAAGGAAGGACCCTAACTAAGAGTGGGACGGACCTAATCTAAGGAGTACCAATCCCGGAGTACACACAAGAAAAGATAATATATAATCCAAAGATGGAGAGAGAAACTGGTCCCACCGTGGTCGCCAGAAACCTGTGGGCCTCCGAAGGAGCACCGCTCGCGGGGGTTCGAATGCAGAGGGTACGGCCGCATTGGGGTCTGACTTGGTCAATTTGACCAAGTCAACCCTTCAGGCCCGGGTCTAGGCAAAATCGAGGTCAACACCCATGAAGTACTTGAGCGTCGAAAACGATGCATCGATGATGCCACCAACAGAGATTAGATACTTGCGCGCAAGAGCGTCAATCTCCATCGTATATCGAAAGTGAGGATGGAGAATCCTATAAATTGGGTGAATCACACTGAGTGTTCTATTGGCAGGCGATGATATATGGCTCAGCGGAGCAATGAGTTCTCAACCTGGAGAGTTAGCCAAAATTAACAAAAGCTGGTTTAGTTAATTTGCAAAAGGTCCTGGAGAAAAACGTTCTTTACATAAGTGAATCCAAACATGATTTTCCTTTTTAAAGGAAGCTGAGTTACAGCTTGTTTTTATATTGATTGTTCGTTTTTATTATCATTTTATGAACACGTTGTATTAAGATATTTTCAATAACAGAAACTTTGATTTCTGCTTCTAATCAAAATGGCCCATTTGTGCTTTGCTGGCACCTGAAGCAATCAAAGGTGGTTACGCTAATGAGTTTGGAAGAATTTGTCTAGAGTGGTTGGCTTTGTGCAATATAAAATGGGATTGAAACATCTTTTCAAGCTATATTTAAGCAGGAAAGAATTGGACAAATGGGGAGAGAAAACACATGCAATTATCTTTTCATATTCCCCTCATTCAAAGAAGGGAGATTTTCTTAGCATTCTAGATTTCTGTCAATTTGCTTGCACTTCTTTTTTACTGTTAAATATAGAAAATACCGGTTAGGTGAGCACATTGCTTTGAGAACGGTACACATCAGATCAAGATCATTTATAGTTTAAGCTTATTTCCAGATCTATGTAGGACCTTGAAATCTCACTGTATTTTTTCCTTGAAGTATACATTTTTCCTTTAATTGTCACTTGGAGATGATTTGGAAAACCATCTTTGGATGCATTATGAAGTATTATGACGTAGTATTTTCACTATATCTCCATGTACGTCAAAATAAAACAATAGATCTGAGGCAGTTGATGAGATATGTTGGCCATATTAAGAGAAGGAAATTGCCGTCCTCTTCTTTTCTTAAACAATGCACATATTTAAACGAAATGCTTTCATAATTATAAACTTGTTAAGATATACGATTTTTTGCTATTTTGGTTGCCAAAACTGTTACACATTTTGTTTCTGTTATGATGTTACACATACGATTTTTTGCCAAGCTCTTCATCGTTCCTTACCGCAAGAAGAACGTGCCTTGGTATAATACGGTTCTTCTTATTGTCCCTTGCCGCGTTTCCAGCCAACTCCAAAACCTAGAAACAGATCACAAATCGAACCTTACAAGCCCAAGATCTGAATATTAATACAGATGAATGGAAAGAAATTTACCTCGGCAGCGAGGTATTCGAGCACGACAGCTAGGTACGGGATCACCAGTACCAACGCGCTGAGAGTAACGGCCTTTCTTCAGGAAGCGGCCGATACGGCCTACGGGGAACTGGAGGCCGGCTTTGACCGACCCTGAAACGGGCTTCTTCTTCGGTGTACTAAAAAAACACTGTTGTTCTCACCATAGCTTTGGACTCTGCTTCTCGGCTCCCTTGTCGGACTTCGTTCATTCGCGCGAGAGCGACAGGCCGCAAGGATCGCTCCTTCGTTCCTTTCCTTCATTGCTATTCGATTTCGGCTCCCTCTTGGCTGTTCGACTTCGCTCTTCGGAGGAGGGCTCGTGCTGTTCTCGAGCGAAGAATTTCAAATCCGCTCAAATTGAGCGGCTTTAAAAGTCGTGGGATCCGCCTCCTCTAATACACGCCTAATGCTTCGGAGGATTTCCTTTTGTTCCATTCAAAATTAACCAAACAACCAAATTTAATAAATACATGTATTTATTTTACTTTACCCTCCTAATTCAGGAAACCAAACAGCCCCTAAGTTTCAGCTGCAGGATTGTTTTCAAAATCTAGGCTTTTGGTTGATTGAAAAATGATTTTTTCTAAGTAAAATTTTGAATGTGAAACTCATTCCTTGTTAAATTTTATTGTATTCCAAAATCGGTCAATTCAAACAAATTTTGAATATATCGCATCACCTTTCCCACATACGCTTGCCGACCATCGACCTCATCCACTACTTGTCACCAACCACAATTGTTACTATCACTGTTGTTGGCTTAGTGCATTTTAAATGCAGGGTTTAAAAATTTAGGCTTTTGGTTGATTGAAAAATAAATTCAAAGTAAAATTTTGAGGAATGTGAAACTCTTTAGTCTTCCCTTAGTTTAATTTTATTGTATCCCAAAATCGGCAAATTCTGTAGATTTTTAAATATATCACATCTTCTTTCTTGTTTGCACTCGCCGACCATCAAAATCATCTACCACTAATCACCAACCACCTTTGCCACTATCACTACTATCGCTAGCCACGACTATCACCATGATTGCTGGCAATCATCTGCTAACAATGGTCGCGACAATTGCTGCTAGCTGCCTATTCACAGTGGGCCACAATCACCTCCTACTCCCCACTTATTGCCACCTACGACTATAGTTGAATTTTTTGATATTAGTGTCATAAAATTAATTGCTATGTATTGCTTTCATGTCAAAATTTATTCAATAGCTTTAAGGCCCATCTTAATTAATTTTGCATTACACTATCCTCTGCTTTTTATATTTCTTTGAAAACGTTTGAGTGAAATTTAGGCTCAAGCTTACAGTGAATTTAACTAGAAAATTCTACTTTCTTGATATGATTCAGTTTGGCATCTCACCTGAGAAAGTTGATCAAGTTCAACCAAATAGGCCAATATCATTGCCACCGCCATCGCGATCGCCACCGCCACCGTCACCATCACCGCCATCACCTATGCCCCATAAATCAACTTCAACATTATATGCAGAACCAACCTGCGACGATTTGCCAGGCACGTCTGCATAGTTTCCCCAGAATATGAGAATAACAGATTTGATCGTCTTAATCATGTGAGCTTTTTCCAAACAAATGCCGGCGTTGAATTCGCTTTGCAGCTTATAGCTTTTCTACACCCTCAAAATGGCACTTTTTTCAGCCAGAGATTATGGGACCATATTGCAGAGAATCCTTCACATGATTTGTAATGGTGAGGCTTAGTAATTTAGAATGTGGATTTTGTAAGAGATCACTTCAGAATTTTCTAACTTTGAATGATGTATGTTAATTTAGGCTTCATTTGGGATGGTTTTCATACTGCTTTCTGAAATAGTTTTTTAGTACAAATTTTTTGTACTAGAAAGCTATTTTAGAAAGCAATAAAATGACAGTCCCGAATGAAGCCTTAGTTATTTATCCGGCATGAATTCTAACGTTCCGTCTGCTTATATTGAAGCTTTAGACATATGAGATAGTTGAGTTGAGATCGGCATCTCTTCTATTATTCTAAAAAGCTTTATATCTGCTTTTGTTTTTTGGTTTTTTTTCGCTCCTGTCATGCAATTCATGGTTGCAGTTCCAGTTGATTTGTGGAGTTGCAGTTCCCCGTTAATTTTATAAAATATTAGTTCTCGAAGTTTTTTTTTTTTTTTTTTTTTTTTTTTTGAGATTTTGGTTTCTACCCACGTAGTGGGATAAAGGCTTGATGTTGTTGTTGTTGTTGTTGTGGTGTATTAATGTAAGTGGGATTGGAAAATTTTGACAATAATTTTCGAAGATATTTATAACTAAATCAGCTGGCAAGGTGACACCCGCTGCTAATGCTTCGTTTGTGACAACTTTCATTCTATATTTTTTTTAGCGCACAATTCAAATTTTTGTTTGACAAAAATTTTTTTTTTTTTTTTTTGAGCTGTAAAGAAATTTTTGTAGTACAAAGTTTCTATGTACAATAGCTTTAAAAAATGATTTTCTTTATCATAAATTTACAAAAATAATAAAAAAATTGTTTCAAATGAAGTCTAAATCTATCAACCTGCAAACAAGCAAAATCCAAATATGGGTTAAAGGAAAATTTTGTGAGATATTTTTATATAAATGGTATCATGTTGAATTTGAAAATTATTAAATAAATTTTAAAATTATAATAGATTAGAATAACCGAAATAATTTTTTTAAAAGGGCCAATCGAATGGTTCTTAAGATTTATTCTACATGAATTAATTAAGTGTTTATAATAATATTTCTCAAATTTGAATTTATTAAATGAATTATACATAGGGGTGTAGCTAATGCCTTGTTGAGGATCATTTTTTTATTTTTAGGTAATAGTAATGATAAATATAGTTTTTGAACTATTTTTTATTTTTAAATTTAATAAAAATAGATTATCTTAATTTTTCAAAATGTTTTTATTTCTAAAACTTGATTAAATACTAACCTCTAAGCTCTGCATTTTTATTAGGTCCGGACAGCTGACATAGCTGTACATCCGGATGCTAATAAAATTTTGCCATGTGTTCTTACTCTTTACCACGTGGCCCGACGACCCGACCCGGACCGGAACCTAATATTGCTATGTATTATCTGATTTGTACAGACTAGGGTATTGCTAGGTTTTGCTCGGTAACGATAAATACCATTTTGTTAAGACCAATACCTAGCAATATCGAGCAATACTCCGGTTTTGCTAGGTATTGCTAGGTATTGCTCGGCATTGGTCTTGACAGAGCGGCATTTCTCGTTATTTCCAAGCAATACCTAGCAATACCGAGCAATACCTAGCAATACACGAACATAGCAATATCGGGTTTCCGTTTCGGTTCAGGTCGTCGAGCCGCGCGGTAAAGTGTAAGAGAGCTGGTGTCCGGACCTAATAAAAATTCCTAAGGTCTAGCCTTTGCCTCCCTACCTTCCAGTCATTAGCCTCTAGCCTCTGAATGAAACTCAATGCCTCTTGTTGGTCACCATAAGTTTTTTATTGCCATCTTTTGACATGTCACCTTATAGGATTGAGATTTTAGCTTGAATAATACTCGAAAATTAAGTAGACTTCTTTGCTTGAATTGACTTAAATGAGCTGCGAACCAACTTATTTTATTGATCCGATCTTTGTGTCAATTTTGAATTTTGTTTGGATTAGATTGAGTTGGTATTATTGATACATACAAAAAATATCGCATTAATCCAGCACGAATTGTGGGGGATATCTCGATTGAAAATTTTTAAAATTAAATTTAGGGTCATCCAATCTCACCAAACTTATAGTCAAATGGAACATCTTGGAAAGACAAACCCAATGACACCAAAATTGGTCCAATCTGAGTCCAAATGGGATCAAATTAATAAGTTGAAGCATATTTGAATGTTTTAGAATATTAATTGGGTGATCAAATGATATCCAATATAGCATGCTTATTGTTGAATTGAGCAACTTGATGAGATAAATCCAATGAGCCCAAAATCACTTAATTCTAATATCATTAAAGAACTTAAATACTTGAGAAATGCTCTATGATCAACGGGGATCAATATGAGCTATTCGATGGTGCACTTCGAATTTGTCCCGAATCTTCCCCATATTCACAGAGCATGCAACTCTTAAAATCTATAAATAGACCTCTACACTATCCATGAAAATGGACTTTGTATGGAGGAGGGGCTTGGACCTTGGGCTAAATATTCAAAAGAGCTTTAAGGCATGAATCCTGGAGCACCATCCCCAACAAACCCTCGCTACCTTGTAGCCGTCCCCAAACTGTTATCGACCGATTGTTATCATGCCTCCGCCCAACTTCTATAGGTGAATCTCCACCCGACCATTATTGTCGAACCTCCGTCAGGTCGTGCACTGATGGGTCTCAGCCTTCCCTCTATCGCTTGACTATGGTCCCTCCTACCTCAATCACCCAACTATGGTCCCTTTAAACATAGTAATTTATTGACTATGGTCCATAGGACATAGTCGCCCCCAAACTACAATCCTCATACCATCATCACCCGACTATAGTCCCTCTAACTACAGTCGTACATCGACTACGGTCCTTAGGATGCAGTCACCCGCAATCTGTAGTCCTTGGACCACCTTCACCCAACTATGGTCCCTCCGACCACATTTGCCACCAATTATGATCCTCAGACCACCTTCACCCGACTACGATCCCTTTAACACCCGACTACGATCCCTTTAACCATAGTTGCCCGTCGACTACTGTCCTTAGACCATAGTTACCCACCGACTATGGTCCTCGGACCACCTTCACCCAAATACAATTCTTTTGACCTCAATCGTCCATTAATTATGTTCCTTTTGACCTCTATCACCCACAAACAACGATCATCATACCACTATCAACGACTACTGTTTCTTAAACCACCGACACCCGACTATGGTCTTTCCAAATACAATAGTCCGACTATCATCCTTTCGACCTCCATTGTCCACTGACTACGGTCCCTCAGACCTCCATCGCCCAAACATGATCCCTCTGACCTTCATTGTTGCCAATTACGATTCTCAGACAACCATCACCCAATTATGGTCCCTCTGACCTCCATCTCACGACTACGGTATCTTCGACCACCATCGACCAGATATGGCCCCTTTGATTACTATCACTTGACTATCTTCTCTTTAATCTCCATCACCTGACTACGATCCCTCCGGCCACTGTCATCCAATTACAATCCTACCGACGAAATGAACAGAATTACATTCTATGCAGAACAACTCTCATATCATTGGATTTTTTCAATTCCAAACATGTAATGTGCTTTATATGATGTGTATATGCTATAGTGAGCCAATGCATTTCTAAATAGAAAAGTATCATTTGTAACCAATGACAAGCACTTGTTAAATTATTTCAAATGATCAGGCCTCATGATTTTTAATCTTTTTAAAGATTTTTCACTTAAAAATCATGTTGTCTCTTATGATTTTGGACCCCTCTCACACATCTCTGTGTGTGTTAAATCTTCGTTCAAAGCTAAAAAAATAAGCTCTTTATCTATCTATCGCTAGCACACACACATACTATATATATATATGCGGCGATAGAGTTTTAATTCTATGTCTTAGCGTTGCACGGATATCCAGCTCACACATAGAGAGCACAAGATTTTTTATGTAGAAAACCTCGGAAAGGGGAAAAACTATGGGGCCTACCCATTTGAAAAGATTTCACTAGAATTTGATTTGAGTACAATTGGCTGATTAGTCCTTGAGGGCGGTCAAATTACAAATGTCAATCATATATTTGAAGTCTCATGTCAAATCTAACGTCACTTGGAAGTTAGGGCGTCAATTAGTAGTCCGGTAGTGACTTGGCGGAACTGATAGAGTTTAGGGCCTCAAGTGGTGGTCCAACGAAGGTGAGGGCCTCAAGTGATGGACCGGCGAGGGTGAGGGCCTCAAGTGGTGGTCCAGCGAGGGTAAGGGCCTCAAGTGGTGGTCCGGCGAGGGTAAGGGCCTCAAGTGGTGGTCTGGCATAGGTGAGGGCCTAAAGTGGTGATCCGGCGAGGGTGAGGACCTCAAGTGGTGGTCCGGTGAAGGTGAGGTCCTCAAGTGGTGGTCTGGTGGAGCAACGACAATAGGTGGTGGTCCGGCGAAGGTGAGGGCCTCAAGTGGTGGTCCGACGAAGGTGAGGGCCTTAAGTGGTGGTCCAACGGAGCAACGACGTCAGGTGGTGGTCCGATGGAAACTCAGGCGGTGGTCGAGGAGGAGCAAGGAGGCAAGAGTGATCTCAAATCTCTCTCTTTGAATCCTTTGGCTTGGGGTCCCCTTTCAAAGAAAGGAGGGATCTATTTATATATTTATGGAATGACATGACCCGTAAATAGATGAGAGATCAAGAGTAAATTAGGAGTGGTTGGATGGACGACTGATATTGAATCCCTTGATCAAGGATTGTTTGATGGACATTTGAATGTCTTAGTGATGTCGGAATTTGGTGATCTTGGGCTCGTTGGATTCATCTCGTCGAGCCACTCGATTCGACTATAAGCATGTTATGTTTGAAAACCGTTTGGTTATCTAAATTGTGGTTCAAACCTTCCAACAAAGCTTCTAACCCTTGATTTGGACCCATTTGGGCTCGGATTGGGTTGGATTTAGTGTCGTTGGGTTCATATTCTCGAGACGTTCAATTTGAATGTAAGTTTGCTAAAATCAGAGTTTGGATGGTCCCAATTTTAATTTTGAAAGTTTTCAACTTGATTTTGCATTGAGATTTGTGCCCGATCAACATAATTTTTTGATTGTGTGTGTGTGTGTGTTTGAATGTACATACAAACATATTAAATATTTGTTTAAATTAAAATGAAAAGAAATAATTTTAAGATAATTCAATTCAAATTTGAGCTGGCTCAAAACCTAATTAATTTGATCAATAAGATGATTTCAAGCCAGCTTATATATGATAATTGTGAATATGAAATGCATCAGCTCAAAATCAGATCATTAGCACTCCTAGCCACCATTGAGTATGAGCCAACTATTTCAATCTCTCAATAGTACGTTCTTCCTATTACTCCCAGGTTTCTCTCTCTCTCTCTCTCTCATGAAATTAAGAAAAGTCGCACATTTACATTTTGCGAATCCAGAAATATATTTTAACTAGGGCACATTGAACTTTTACTATTGGAAGCATCAAATAGTTGGATTTTATTACTTCTTGTGTTTACATAAATCCGAGCTTGATAGACTAAAGCCAACCTATTCTCAACTCAACTAATTAGCCAACTCTTAAAATATTAATTTAAGTATAAAGTTCTTAAAAAATTTAAATTTGTCCTGACCCAATAATTTGCCCAATTTATGAAGAAATTATTATGTGTTGTCACACGACTGTCCGGAGATAAATTAGGATGCTCTACGTCACCCGGTACATAGTGTACAATAAAGGTGCACAAAAAAAATGACGTGGCATATCTTGATTCACCTCTGAGTGACATCCGATAATCGTACAGAATAATTTCTTTAATTTATGAGCTGAAATTCAAGTAAATGGATAAAATGCCAACTCTTAACTTGCATTTGGTATGCAGTTGAGAAATTATTATGTGCGGAGATCGAACAAGAAGAACTATTTGGATTTGTTGCACTTTAGCTGTTCTTTTGCTGCGCTTTTACAAATACTCAGCAAAAGATCAACAAATATGTATTTATAATTGCACTTTTGCTGTCATTTTATAAAATTACAACAAAAGACCACCCTCTTGCTATATTTTTGTAAATACACAACAAAAAGATAACAAAAGTATAATTATGAATAAGTATTGACTATCTTTTTTATGAGTATTTGTCAAAGTATAATAAAAGAGCAATTAAAGGAAAAAAAACTAAACGGTTCTTGCAATCCGGCCTCCGAACAGAATAATTTATGCAGTTGATGATTTCGGCAGCTTGCTTCTCTTTTTTTTTTTTTTGTGATGATGAAATACTGTTTTTAGGCCAATGAAAATCCCGATCGACCTAACATGCAACTCACATCAATTTATGCGAACCAACTTAACACTTTCACTACTTATTCTCTTTGAATGTCGTACTTAGGCAACCAAACAGGGGCAAATTATTGGGTCAGTTGACCGGAGGCGAAAAATAAGTTCGGACATCCAATAAAAATTTGTCGCGTCACCTGCGCTTTTGACTGCGCTTTTTGACTTGAGCTTTAGTTGCGCTTTACTTGCGCTTTACCTGCGCTTTACTTGCGTTTTACTTACGCTTTACTTGCGTTTTTTTGACTTGTGCTTTAGTTGCGCTTTAGTTGCGTTTTGTCTGCGCTTTACCTGCGTTTTACTTGCGCTTTACCTACGCTTAACTTAAAATAATATTTTATTAATATCCGGATCTATCTCCACCTCCAATCACCTGACCCAATAATTTGCCCCAAACAGGGCCCAAACTTTCCATTCTCTCACGTCTTTCTCACCCACACTCTCTCTCCAGACAACTCTCTCGACAGAGAAAGGAAACCATCCTTGGGTTTACCGAATACCGTCTTCGAAAGCGATGGACGAACGAGATCTTCCGTAGTCGTTTTCTCTGCGTATATTCTTCTACCTTGTTGTCAACACGAGCAAAAGCGACGCCGCAGATAAGCCATTTCAAGAGTTCTGATTCACCTTTGTTTCTCCCATTCGTTCAAAGACCAGCTATTGTGGACTGGGTTTTTCTTTGAGAATTTTGGGAGAAGGTGGACGATGGCCGCTTGTTTGAGAGTATGCCTTCAATCGACGCTAAAGATCTTGAATTCGGTTATGGGGTTGTTAGGGATGGCCATGATTATGTACTCTCTATGGATGATTCGAGCTTGTCTCCGGCAAATAGGAGAGTTATCACGGGGATTCTCTGAGTCCAGCTCTAGCCCTTCATGGTTTGCTCCTTTATTCCTTTTTTTATAATTGATAGGGTTTTCTCTGTCTTTAATACCCCTAAGTTCTGAAGGTTTCTCTTTATGAATTAGTTATGGAGTTTCAGTAAGTAGTTTTGTTACCCTTCCTATTAAGGGATACTGATTAGCACAGCCGCCAGGCTAAAATACATGGTCTCTCTAACTCTCTTCTCTCGGGGTTTAGCTGTAAATGCCAAATGGTAAGTAAGGTTGAGTTAATACATGCAAATAAATAGTTAATTTAGCTGTGCATGTCTGTTTGAGATCTATGATTTCACTTGTGATTTATGAAGGAAATAAACAATGAATTAAAATAACTTCTTTGCTTCACTTAACATAAAATAAATCTGAATCCATGGGGTTGTTTAGTGTTAAGTAGGATTTTAGTAATTCTCAAAAACACAAATTTATTTTGATGCAAGTAAGAGAGTTCATTAAATTCTTAAATCCTTCACCTTCAGGTCTTTTAAATCCTGCCATTAAGAGGATTTGCTAGATCCAATAGTTAGCCCATATTTAGCCAAATCCTGGATTTTGGGAAGCCTCAAAAAATCGTTTGGCTAAATTTGGCCTAAATCTAAATTGAATCCTCTATAAATCTTGATGTATAATAGCGCTAAATTTTGAATTTTCTATGAATGAGCATCATAGTGGCAACATTAGTATTCTTTCTTGTAGACCCGTCTCTTTGAATGTAGTTGCTTGTTTAGGAAAACATTTATGCTTCATCCTTCTTTAGAGGTCATTAGGTATTTTTAGACACCAATTATCAAATGACCTCTTGGATTATTAAGTCGATGAGGTAGTGTTTGCTTCTTCTTCTTTTTTTTTTTTTTTTTTTTTTTAATTTAGACATGCTATTACTCATTGTGAAATTTATTTCAATTCTATGCTTCTTCTCAAAGTGTATGTTGTGATTCTATGTTTTCTTTTGTAGAATTTATGACACTTTTTTTTATTTAAAGATTGCTTCATACAAATATAACACTACTTTTGAACTAAATAAATAGTTTTAGACTTTTAGTTGGAATTTTATAGTACGGTAAAAAGCACCATGAATTGTGATGAGATAAATGGTAGTTTATTTTATATTCTTACAAAAGACCAATTTGTGCTTATCCTCTATAAAACATCCTAATTTTGCTTATCCTCTTTTATTTTGGATTTTTTAATAGTAAAAGTGCCACCTCCTCTTGATTGGCCCCCTTGCCAACCTTCCGCTAACTCCATCTCTAAAGAGAGAAAAAAATATATTTATTGTTCCATTAACAATATATCAGTTTATCCTTACTTGGCAATCTAAACAAAATATTTAGAACTAGCATAATAACAATTCGATGGAGCACAAGGATGTTACAATAAAGGAAGTTGATGAAGATCGGAAGAAATTAGTTTTTTTAAATGGAAAACCTGTTTCATATGTATTGCATAAAAAATATTCAAGGTATAAATGCATAACCTTGCATGAATTAGATAAAGAAGCTTATTATCTTAGTTTATTTTGTAATTTTATGGAGAAAATAAGTTGGTCCAAATAAATTTTTTGCATGTTTTTATCACCTTCTAGTTTCATGCATGATGATATGGATGCCATGTTATTAACTCTTTTTTATTTTGCAACTAAAATTGGAGGTTATACATACATGAAAGTTACATTTGAGCTCTTCTTAGTGTAGCTTTCCAAATTAATCTGTTAGGCTGGCCCCAAGGAGGGTTGACTGAACCTGTCTATCTAGGATCGGTTTAGGTGTACAGAAGGCGGGTTAGGGGTGGGGCCTAACCAAGGAAAGAGAGAGAGAGAAGAGGGGGGCGACTGGTGTGATGAAGTCCACACACTAATTAGAAATGGGTTGGAGGGAAAATTTGAAATTAAGGGTTATTTAGGGATTTAGTAATTGTCCTTTTGCTTTAATTACTTTCTTCTTGCTAGGGTTAGGATTATCTTCAATTGGAAGGCTGAATTTGAGATATAGGGTTTGCTATCGGGTTCTAGGCGTTGGCTAGAGATTTGGAAAGTTGAATCTTCATCTCGAATCAAAGATTCTTGTATTGGTTGTTGTTATCTTCTTCTATTACTAAATTTGAAGTGATTATTCATCTTATTTCTCTTCCAATCTCCAAAAATATGCTCTATTCTGTTGTTTATCTCTAAAATTCATCAATTTTTTGCATTATTGGTGGTTGTTTCCTAACAAATTGGTATAGAGCACGTCGATCTAAGGGATATCAATGGCCAGAAGGAAGGTTGAAGTTTTGGAGGGAGAACTTGGGCAACTCAAATTAGATTTTGAGGAAAAGATTTCCGATTTTCAAAATCAAATCGCATCCATCAACGAAAGGATGGAGGAAAAGTTCGTCGTGGTGGAAGACATGTTGAAGAAATGGCTGGAAGCTAAACCCAATCTGGCGTCATCAGAAGCAAAGAAAACTACCGACGACCCTAACATGTTTAGGGGAAAAAAATTCAGAAGTGGAGATCTTGGAGGGTGAAGACGGAATGCCTCATTTAGAACCACTTTCTAGAGAGGAGATGAGCATTGTCTACGAAAGAAGGGGTGCTGATTTTGTAAGGAGAGGGGAAGATTTCAATTGTCGGTGTGATTTCTAAAAAAGAAGAGGGGATTTTGATAAAGGGTTTGGGTATGATCGCCAGAGGGAAGATCGTGACAATTGGGGAGTAAGAGGACTCTTCGAGGAATGAGAGGCTATGGAGGATTCAGAGGAAACGGGGGTGACCCGAAAGTGAGGAAGCTGAAGATGCCCATCTTTGAGGGTGACAACGCACATGGCTGAATCTACAAGGTGGAGTGATACTTTGCAGTCATCGGGCTGACAAATGAGGAGAAATTGACAGCTGCAGGACTGTGCTTAGAAAGGAAGGCACTGGCATGGTACTAATGGCGGGACATGAGGCGATCCATTCGGAGTTGGAGGGAGTTCAAGGATTGTTTACTTGAACGTTTATGAACCTGTAGGGGAGAGGACTTTTATGAGGAATTCTTTGCCTTGACGCAGGAGGGGGCTGTGGCAGAGTTACATGATAGGTTTGAATACCTTGCTAGATCGACTCTCGGAGACAGTACTATAAGGAAATTTTATGAAGGGGCTTAAATCGGAGATCTGAGTGGCAGTTAGGGTGATAAGACCATAAGACTTGGGGGAAGCCATGGAGCTAGCACAGTTGGTGGAGGACCAGAAGTATCTAGAGAAGGGGCTTGGGGGGAGCAACTCAGCGGGGTTATATAGGATGACCACCATCTCCTTAGCTTCCAAAGGGACTTCCACAGGGAATTTGAGAGAAGTACCAAAGGAGAAAACTGGAGGAGGGGGAAATTTCAAAAAGCTTATTGAGGAGGAGTTACAGGAGAAGAGGACAAGGGGGTTGTGCTTCAGATGTGATGAGAAGTGCACACCAGGGCATAGATGCAATGACCAAACTCTTCAAGTTCTCACCATCTGTGATAACGAGGAAGTTGAGGAGGGAGGTGAGAGTAGGCTAGTGGTGGAGGAAGAGAAGTTGCATCTGGACACAATGGAAGTCTCTTTGAACTCAGTGGTGGGATTTACCCCAAATCGCACCATGAAAGTGAAGGGAGAGATAGCTGGTAGGGAGGTGGTGGTGCTGATCAATAGTGAGGCTATCCATAATTTTATCTCTAATTAGATCATATATCTATTGGGGGTTAAATTAGTAGACATTGGAGGATATGAAGTGATGATAGATACTGGGAAGGTAGAGATGGGTAGAGGACTGTGTAGGGGAGTATTACTAATGATTCAAAGGATTTATGTGAGGGAGAATTTTCTCCTATTGGAGTTGGGGAGTACTGATGTCATCTTGGGGATGAAATGACTGTAGACCTTGGGGGAGACCAAGGCCAATTGGGGAGCACTAATGATGGAACTGGTGGTGGGAGGAAGGAGGATGGCGATCCAGGGAGATGCAGGATTGTCTAGGGCTAAAGTATCTCTCAAATTCATGATAAGGACTATACAAGAGGTGGGCGGAGCATATTTGATGGAATTGCAATGTTTGGAGAGGGTTAGTGTGGGGGAAGAGGGAGATATCCCTCTTATAGTACAACCACTCATATAGCAGTTGGATGAGCTATTCCATCCACATCAAGGCTTACCACCACCTAGAGAGCAGGAGCATGCAATCATTTTGAAGGAGGGGGTGTCACCGATTAATGTACGGTCATACCGTTACCCCCAAATTCAGAAGGATGAGATTGAGAAGTTGATTAGGGAGATGTTGGAAGCAGGGATCATTAGACTAAGTGTGAGTCCTTTCTCCAGTCCAGTCTTACTGGTCAAAAGAAGAATGGAACTGGAGGTTTGTGTAGATTATAGGGAGTTGAATAAGGAGACTGAGCCGGATAAGTTCCCCATCCCGGTGATTGATGAACAACTGGATGAGCTGTATTGAGTAGTGGTGTTTTCCAAGATGGACTTGAAGTCGTGCTACCATCAAATCAGGATGAAGGAGGACGATATTCAAAAGATGGCTTTCAAGACGCACGAAGGGCACTACGAGTTTTTGGTGATGTCATTTGGGCTAATAAATACTCCTGCTACCTTCAATTCATTGATGACATACTTATGTATAGCAGGACCGAAGAGGAGCATCTTGAGCATTTAAGTGTGGTCGAGGGAGAGAGGCTGTTGTACCAAGGGAGATTTGTGATGCCAAGAACCTCCATCCATATTCCCCATCTACTGCAGGATTTCTATGGGAGTGCGATTGGAGGCCATTCTGGAGTGCATAAGACATAGAAGACTGGTAGTTGAATTATACTGGAAGGGTATGCATAAGGATGTGGAGGAGATGGTGGCGGGGTGTGAGGTGTGTCAGAGAAACAAGTACATAACGATAGCTTCAGGGGGATTACTACAACCCTTAGCACTTCCAAACAGGGTATGGGAAGAAGTGTTGATGGATTTCATAAATGACCTACCCCGATCTGAAGTATTCATAGTCATTATGGTGGTGGTTGATAGGCTGAGTAAATATGCACATTTTATTCCTTTACGACACCCCTACACCGCCATCACAGTGGCTGCATCATTCATTAGGGAGGTGGTTAGATTGCACGAGGTTCCATAATTGATAGTTTCTGACCGAGATAAGATATTCCTCAGACAGTTTTGGATGGTGCTGTTCAGGTTGCATGGTACAGTTCTTAAGAGAAACATCGCCTACCACCCTCAGACGGACGGATAAACAGAGGTAGTCAAAACGAGCTTGGAGACTTACTTGAGGTGTTTTGCTTTTGAAACACTACGGATGTGGGCCAAGTGGTTAGCATGGGCCGAATATTGGTACAATACATCGTACCACTCAGCTTCTCATATGACTCCTTTTAAGGTTTTGTATGGAAGGGACTCCCCACACTTTGTGCATTTTGGGCAAGGAAGCACACCAGTTTCGTCAGTACAGTACTTGGAGGAAAGGGATGGGGTGCTAGAGAAACTAAATAGGCACCTGTTGAGGGCACAACAGATAAAGAAGAAGCAGAAAAATACATATAGGAGAGACATCCATTTTGAAGTAGGCGGGAGGGTGTTCTTGAAACTGCGACCATATAAACAAAAGACAGTCCCACAGGAGGAATGAGAAATTGGCCCCAAGGTATTTCAGGCCCTACGAGATAGTGGAAAGGATTGGAGTTGTGACATACCGTTTGAAGTTACCCATGACCGCCACCATAAACCCAATATTCCATGTGTCCCAGTTGAGGAAAGCTCTAAGGGAGCATAAAGTCAGTACAGGGCGACAACGACACTGACGAAGGAGTTAGAAGTGATCCTAGAACCGCTGGAGCTAAAGGGGGTGAGATCAGATAAAAAGGGAATAAAGAAGCGCTGATTAAATGGAGGGGCCTTGCCTTCCAAACTTCATCGCCACTTGGGAACCGTATGAGAGGGTGAAGCATCCGTTTTCTTCATTTCACCTTGAGGACAAGGTGAGTCTTTGGGAGGGGGTTAATATTAGGCTTGCCCAAGGAGGGCTGGCTAAATTGGTCCATCTAGGACCGGTTCAGGTGTACAAAAGGCGGGCCAGGGGTGGGGCGGAAACAGGGGGAGAGAGAGAGAGAGAGAGAGAGAGAGAGAGAGAAGGTGTTTAGGGATTTAGTAATTGTCCTTTTGATTTAATTACTTTCTTCTTGCTTGGGTTAGGGTTATCTTGAATTGGGAGGCTGAATTTGAGATCTAGGGTTTGCTATTGGGCTCTAGGCGTTGGCTAGAGATTTGTAGAGTTGAATCTTCCTCTCGAATCGAAGATTCTTGTATCGGTTGTTGTTGTCTTCTTCAATTACTGAATTTGAAGTGATTATTCATCTTATTTCTCTTCCAATCTCCAAAACTGCTATGTTTTGCTGTTTTTTTTTTCTGAAATTTAGCAATTGTTTGCATTATTGGTGGCTGTTTCCTAACATAATCAAGAGGAGATAGAAATTTTATCCAATAAGTCTAAGAGTTGAATATCTATCATTGATTATGATGTGATGTGATGAAGAGGCAAATGTTTGTAACTCATATATGTCTATAATTTTATTTAATTATGACTTTTTATGTAATCCCTTTATATTTTAATAGCTTTTCATTTTCTTCTTGATGTAAAGTCTATATATAGCCATAGAAATATAGGATGTAATACATTACATTTTAAAATATATCTGAGATTACTCTCCTTTTTAGCTTGGTGTCAAGTTTGATGTTTCTTCCTTTGGTGAAATTGAGATTAATGCTCATCCTTTAGTAAGGATGTGGTGTTTATCCTGTTACCTTCATGTTAGCTTTCTTGTATTGCTTGTTTTCTTCTTCCACAATTCTTTAAAGCTAACGCATCATATCATAAGTTGGTATCAGAGATAGGTTTAGACAATGGAATACACAATATTACCAAGATGCCGTCAAGTAAAGGCTTAGATAGGTTTTGTGATAACTTGCTTAAGGTTTAAAATTTTATATAGAGATAACTAATTTGATTGGATGCAAATATCCTATCATCTTAATAGAAAAAATAACATGATAATAATTTTAATATCACAGTATAATAGATATGAGAATGGAAAGCAGCCTTGTTTTTTGCATTAATGTATTGTACCCAAACTCTACATTTTAAATTTACTATTTATTGTAGCATTTTGGCATAAACGTGAAAAGGTTGGAGTAGCGCCAGATAAGATTAGAGTCTTCTTAAATGGTTTGGTGACTTTGGTCACATAAAATGGAAGCCTTCTGATGACCCGGTTAGGAAAGTAGGGTATTAGATTTGACTTATTTTAAGAAAGGTAGAGGTAGTCTAAAAAGACTTGTTAGAAAATATTAGAAATGATCTTTTTTTATTAGATTTAAACGAGAATTTGACTTTTAACATGACACAATGGAGAAAAAAGATTCATGTAGCTGACCCCACGTAGTGGGACAAAGGCTTGATATTATTGTTATTGTTGTTGTAGCATTTTGGCTTGCAGGTTACCACTTGCACGAGAGCTCTTGTTGAATAGAAAAATTGCTTACAGGAGAGATACCATCAGAAGAACACTTTAGAAACAATTGCAGATTTGGGTAGGGTTTTTATTGCAAACCCTTAGATGCATTAATCAAGGATTGCAAGTGCTAATTTTGTTTCCACGAGGGAGATTTTTGAGGTAACTAGTTTGTTACATAGGGGAGGGTATCTGCACATAGATTTAGAGAGGTTTATGTCAATAGGGAAGAATCAATTTAGTTTTATGTTAGGAAGATTGACTCTCCCTTTATTTTTATAGATTCATTAATTAGGGAGTTAAATACGATTGTTTACCCCTTTGTGGTTATGCGTTTTGTGCCAATGGTGTCTTTCAACATGTTTCTAAATCTCCATTTCTTTGGAAATTTCTTCAAACTCTTGTAGTGCCTCCAAATTGAATTCAAAATGGTGTAGCCACAATGGACGGTTGGACGAATTTGGCATTGTTTGAATGGAGAGATTATTATGGGACATCAAACTTAGTTCACGGTCCATAGACCAACCAGGATACGCCACGTCAGCGGTACCTAGCTTGGTACCGAGCAGTACCAAGTTGGGCACCGAGTAGGAGGTGACGTGGTGCATTTTGATTGGTCTCCGAATGGGATTCGGCATCCGCACAGAATAATTTTACATTTCAATGACAATTTTTAATTAGTTATTGTGGTTGAAATATTTTACTTTATTTACACTGTAAATGTCCGGTCTCTAGTCGGATCAAAACTTGATGTTGTTGTTGTTGTACATTGTAAAATTTAGCGCCAATCTCCCGCACGTTGTACTGTTGTTCATTTTCCCTTCATGTATTGAAGGGAGTATTAGTATGTCTCCAAATTTGCTGATGCAATCATATATTACAAGTAACGTATGATATTAACAGTTCAAATGTTCTGTTGTGTTCCCGGAAGTAATTAATTGCTATTATGCAGGTTCATTTTTGCCTTTCTTGGATTAGGAATCTTCTTGTGTGTGCTAACATGCTCAGGACATATAGCAGCTGAAACCATTAACAACCATTGCCTTTCTTGTGTATCCTCGACATAGAATTTATACCTGCTGTATTTGTTAACCTTACTGGATCATTTCCAAAACATGATTTGCTTATTGACATAATTAAACTTCTTTGTTAACCTTATTGGATACGTAGTATGCAGCGACCCTCATCTTCCTGCTTATTCTAGAGGCTGCTATCACTGCAGATATATTTCTCAACAGGAACTGGGAAGAGGTATGCATCTTCTTTATCAATTTCGCTCTTTGTATTATGAATATTTGATTGTTTTATTTTGCACTTGTTAGGCCTTTCCGCATGATCCAACGGGAAGGTTCAATCAGTTTAAAGAATTTGTTCGATCGAATTCAGGATTATGCAAATGCATTGGCCTATTGGTTGTGGCTGTCCAGGTATGTTAAGTTGAATTTCCCTTTTAAAGCACTTACAGCTTTGATGTACTAACATTGAATGTTCATCTTCATTCGAAGGCATTGTCCATCTTGCTGTCAATGGTTCTTAGGGCTATAGGACCAGACCAGGGAGAGTATGATGAAAGTGACGATGATTCCTTGCCAGCAAGACTGCCTCTATTGAAGAACCAGGCTCATGTCACTCATGCAGCTGACCGTAAATTTCTGGGGAACAATGATTCTCGAAGTGTCCAGATTGATGATACGGTTAGCATAATTTTTTTAGAGAAAAAATTGGGTGAGGATGCTATGATCAATTTTTGGCCAAAAGAGATCTCAGATTCATTGAATTTACTTTTGAGATGAATGCTATATAAATTTTGCCAATGCTCATCTCAAAGTAAATTTAACAATAATATCAAGCCTTTATCCCACTATATGGGGTCGGCTATATGAATCTTTTTTTTCTACATTGTGACATGCTAAGAGTCAAATTTCCATTTAAATTTAATAAAAAAAAGTCATTTCTAATATTTTTTTAGCCAAACCTTTTTAGGTGTATCTCTACTTTTCTTAACATATGTCAAATCCAATACATCTACTCTCCTAATCGGGTCATAGGAAGGCCAACATTTTATATGTCCAAACCATCTAAGGTGACCCTCTCTAATTTTATCTGTCATTTGAGCTACTCCAACATTTTTACGTACGTACTCGTTTTGCATTTTGAAGCCACTCATCCACTTGAGCATCCTCATCTCTACAACATTTAACTTTATGCTTCTCCTTTAATGGTCAACATTTTGCACTATAAAGCATTGCATGCCTCACCATCACTTCGAACAATAGACTCAAAATATCTAAAATGTGTACTTTTATTAATAATTAGATCGCCCAAAATCACAATCACCCACTAGATCTATTACTACTAAAATCATACTCAATGTATTCGATTTTAAATCTACTCAAACTAAAATCTTTAATCTCTAAAGTTGACATCCATAATTCAAGTTTTCATTCAACTCTCTTTAGTCTTATCAACAAGAAGAAAATCATTAGAAAAAAAAAAAGCATACACCAAGGAACATCCTCTTATAAATTTCTAGTAAGAATATTCATGATTAAAGCAAAAAAATATTGACTTAAAGTTGATCCTTGATGTAATCCAACTGAAATAGGAAAATATTAGGTCAAACTACCTTGTGTTTGAGCACAAGTAACAACTTACACATACATATTTTTAATGGCTTGAATATAAACAATATTAACCCCTTTCTTTTTTTAGAACTCTCCAGAGCTCTTTTTTAAGATTTTATCATATATTTTCTCTAAATCAATATATATCATATGTAAATCCTCTTTATTTTCTCTATACTTGTTCATCAAACCTCTCAATAAATGTATAGCTTCCATACTAGACATATCCTGCATGAATCCAAATTGATTTTGAGAAACAGTAGTATCAATGAATTAAAATTTTATTCCCATCAAAATTTAATTAGAACATCATGGCCATTTTTTTTTCTTTGTTTTTTTCATGATGGCAGTTTCTTTTCTTGTATTGTATTAATTTCTCTTTCATTTCTGATTTGTACATCTTATCAACAGGTTAGCAGGTAATAAATATTCAATCAAGTTTCAGGATGCAGCCAGCTACTATTTTAATCAGTTTGGCTCTCCTGCTTCTGAACTGACAACACATCTAAATTTTAAATAGATGAGGAAATATTAATCTTATCTCAACACAAGGGTTGGTATTGTTTGACTTGAATGCATCAAGGCTAATCTACAAATGTAAGGATCTACTGATTTTACAGCTAATGAAATGAATTAACCTTGTGATCAGTGAACACAAAACTCAACCTATGATCTATTTTTAAACTAACATTCTTGTTATTTAGTTACCCCTACTTATATGCAAGTTCTGAATTAGCTATTTGTGCTGGCCTATCTAAATTGCATAGTTGCATGTAGAAACCTATTGGAAAGGGCAAAAAATCACATCATATATCAAATGTATTTGATGGAATAACAAACGAGTATGTTAATAAACACAAATAAAATAGTATGTGTTAGAATTCTTAGATTGTGTATCGAGTTATTGAGTGTATTAGTTCAATTACAACTTAATTTAAAAGTGCTATCATCTTCACTTACCATTCTTTTTAGCTTTGTGAAATGCCTTCGTTCTAAGAGATTATTCTGTGCGGACATCAGACAGAAAGAACCGTCTAATTTTATCTTTGAATGATAAAAAGCGTAGTTCACTACCGATGTTAATAAGTAAAACTTTCTTCATCTAAATCAATGGATGGAACTGTAAGCTCTCATGCTATCGAACAATAGAAACATGTGCAGCTTCGACGAAAAACAATAAAAATTTAGTAAAACCTTTCAACTAGAAAATTGATGTGCAATCTCTCAGCACATCCAACTAGTTTCTCTTAACATATTAGAATTTAAAAACATTTCACCACAATTAAATGCCTCAAATCTGCTAAAGTACCTCACCATTATCTGAAATATCCTACATGTATATGAAATAACTTATTTCAAGGTTAAAATGCATAATTCAAAGAACAACTGTACAGAGAATTTACAAAAACTCAATCCACAATTTTTGAAATATAAGCTGAGACAGATTTCATATTTGGAAAGCTTCTCAGCTTTTGAGGGACAGATAACGGGAACAATCATTTAATTCAATCAGCTGGCAAACAAAAGTTGGCACTAGCTGGAAGAAGAACCCAGAGCAGAAGAGAGAATGGATTCAATGGAGTAATTAACAGTAGATTATTTTACATGAGAATCATACGAGTCGAAGACAGATTCTGGGATGATGAGAGGAAGCTTGTCTATATACATAAACAACCGTAGCAGATTTTCTCTGGTTACAGTTGCCATGTCTACTATATCTCTGCTGTCAGTCAAGATCCACAGGTCACCACAGCTAACTCCCTTGAGGCTATCACGGCAAAAAGGGCAGGACTGTGACCTTGAATGCCTGCAACAGGCGATTGTTCAATCAAATAGATTTAAATTGTTTTAAGAGAAAGAAAAAAATTCTAATCTTTTTACCTGCGACTGTTAAGAGACTATAGGTAAAACATTCTATTTATCGTGTAAAACAATCTTATTGACAATAATGAATAATTTTACAATTAAAAAGCCACATACAGCTAGCTAACCATAAAGATTAATGGTGTCATGGAGCTTGATACAGAGATGATATGTAGCCACACAAAATCATAATTTTCTATTACCTGCCTTTAATAACTATATAATTAAAATCTTATATCATTAAATAGATCTGATAGTTTACTTCGTATGATAGTCATAAAGCATATTACTATGAATTTACTATTACCTAACTAAATTAGTTATATAATTAAATCACTCTATACATATGCCAGACATCAGTCATGTTACTATGATTTTGTTATTATCCATCTTTATTAGTTATATTAGCAAATCGATCTATACATCTCCTGATAGTCTAATTCGTGTGATAGTCAAGAAGTATAATTCAATTAATTTTCTTTAACTTGCCTTTATTAGTTATATAACTAAGCATGTTAAGATTTTATCATAAAAATAAAATAAAAAATAAAAATAAAAATGTTAAGATTGTAATGCAAGCTGGTTTCCCATGATTAATAGTGTAGGAGTGATTCACTGGTCGCTTGGATATCATGAAGGGTTGTATACCTTGGTTTCAGTTTAAAGGTGGATGCGTTTGATTAGGAGATGGGGAGGTGGTTTCTATTGAGATGGAAGAATGGTTGACAGACTATGGTATGATATATATATATATATATATATATATATATATATATATATATAAAGAATTTCTTGAAAATATTGTTCATTATAAACAAGAAGGATCTTGAATTTTTATTTGAAAAATCATAGGGTTCAAAAAATATATGGATTAATTTTCTCACAAAAAAACGGATAGAAATTATGTTCTTACGATGGTTACAAAATTCAAGATGGTCTATTAGCTGTGCGCTCACATAGAGTGGCACATGTTTTATCAGAAGATGAAGTTCAAGGGGACAAAGTTCAAGGGTAAGAAACCAAGTTTCCATAAGATATAATCTGATGAAGAATGAAAGGTCGAATAAGATCTTTCAATATCAATGACCAAATATAAATAAATGAAGCTTAGAGAACTCAAGATTGATGATGACAAATCTGCAACAGTCAGCTGGAATAACATAAAAATCAAGGGGCAAAATGGATCTTGCAAGATTTTTGGGCCCTCTGTGCTTAAGCTTTGCACCTTCATAAATAATTTGAGCAAGCAATGCTTGGAATGATATTTGAAATTAAGATTGATAAGGAAAGAATGCTTGAAATACCTTAAAAGCACTATAGAGTATCATACACAACATGAAGGATGATGGAAATGAAATCCATAAGTCTGTTGATATTCAAAGTTTGTTGGAAATATTAATGATTCTTATGATGCTCTATATGAAAATTCATAGGATGGATGTGTTGCATCTTTGCTACACCTAGGGCTTAGTTTGATTAAGTTAAAAAAAAAAAGAGTTTAAGACAAATGATGAAGATGATTTGTAATTGAAACCACCCAGATTTCATAATAAAATGATACACATATTTGAACTTTTTAATCTAAAGTTCTGCAAATAACTACAATTTTTTCAAATCAATTTCAAAAATAAGGAAAACTTGGTAAGCTTCTTTGCATAAATGTATTGTCTAAGTTTGCTGATGTTAATAAGTTCGTTAAGGGAACTAGTGATTGTGAGGATGCTCTAATAGAAAATTCATTGAATTTCATGTGTTGTATTATAGCTAAATCTATTATTGAGTCAGATTAGAAGATAACTACAAATTTCACATCAATTTTAAAGGTAAAAAAATTGCAAGCTTATCATTGATAATAGGAGTTGTAAAAATGTCAAGTCTAAGCTTATCATAATCCGCATGAATCTAAAGACATGAACCACAGCCACAACCAAAAGTTATAAATATATTTTTAGACACCTCATCTTTTTAGAATTACCCATTTAACCCTTAATAAATTTTGGCTCAACTATAGAATTCCAATTTGCACATGTTAATAACTTGTACACATGTACATTATACAAGTTTCTGTAAAAAAAAATTTATATAAGCTAGAGTTAACACGACATGCAGGTAGCTGACATGAAGGAAAAATATAAGGACTCAAAGAGTTTAAGACAAATGATGAAGATGATTTGTAATTGAAACCACCCAGATTTCATAATAAAATGATACACATATTTGAACTTTTTAATCTAAAGTTCTGCAAATAACAAGAGGAACATACCACTCATGATAACACTTCAAGCACATACAATGGTTGCAGTTGGGCAAAACAATCCTGCTGTTTAACTCCATGCAGATCCCACATTCCTCCTCTCTCTCAGCATCTACCTCAGAGAAATGCATCCTGTCATCATCATCTCTTCTCTTGTACCTTTCCAGACATATTGCTTTTTGTTTTTTATCCTCCATATCCGTTATTCCCTTATGTAATTGCATCAAAGATGGGAAAATAACAGCTGCCATAAAAGAAAATAAGGTGAATTGATATACTATAAATGCAGAGAGTTGAATCATAAAGCCATGAAATTCAGTGTAACTAGAAGCATAGTGAATTACCATAGAACTCCTTAATGCTTGCCTTCTTTTCATGGGTTAACATTGTTGTTGTTCCATCAATATAAACCTGCAGAAGGCAAAGGTTACTAGTGAACAAAAAAAGAAAAAGAAAATCCAGCATTTAAAAAAAGCAATCAATGTCGAAAATATAAGCACATCTTTATTAGAACCAAACCTTGTATACCAAAATCCTCAGAAGTCCCAGAGCCCCTGCAAGACTACAGTCCATCCATTGCACTAAAAATAGAAATAAAGGGGCCGCAGAGCTATAGGACATACGCATTTGAAGACGGGCACCATCTTTTGGAAATTCTGACGCCCTATATATCCAGTAAAGGATTAGAATCAGCACTCAAAAATAAATAACATATTTGGAATTATTTTCCTCCATGTTTGATGTGAAAAGTAATAGAAGACCAAAGAATGTCAGAACAATCAGCACAGTGGAAACCCAAAAAAATAAAAAAAAAATACACAATGTGAACTGTAGAAATTTATACTTCTATTATTGAAACGTTATTCAATGCTTTCAACACCCTTTTACCATCCTATGTTTTTCTTCAACGGAAAAACAACCCAAAATAAATTGAAGGCAACCATCATAGCGAGAAAAGTAAAAGAATCTAAACTACACCAATGCGGCATAAATAAAATTGTAATCAGCATCGGCATTTCCATGATATCCGAATTGTCAGGCCTCTAGGATCAAAATATTGAGGGAAAATTTTGAAACATAAAAATAATAGGATAAAAAATCCATAAATCTTGTTAGAAAGTAGCTTAGATCGGTCTCTGTACATTTCAGAAAGGCTGACTATAAACAAAGTAAAATTGAATAATCATCTATAAATTAAATTTATAGATTCTAAACGCCGCCAGAAAACTCATCCCCTCTAACAAAATCCACGCAATCAATTTCTTAGACAAATAAAATATTGAGAAGTTCGAGCTGAGTATCTGGAACCATTAAAAGTTTATAGGAGCGGAAGGGAAACGATCTGTCTCACTGATTTCTTCAAAAAAACCACAAAAAAGGAAACTTTCTATTCAGGAACAGGAATTCGCGCTGCAATCAGCCAACAGAACAATTAATACATTCTCTAAAATACAATAAGAGAAACAAATGTCTCCATGCCCAAATTACCCTTTCCCTGACCAACGCCAGTCGCCAATCTTCAAATAAATATAGAACAAAGGGGGAGAAGAACGGAAGAGCGATCGAGTTCAGGAAACAACTTACAGCGTGTTGGCATGCTGGATGTCAGCTTCGAGACCTTTGAGCGAATCCTTGAACGATTTCCGCATGTAAACCATGAACATCTCCACCACAAATCATCCAGCAGAAAAGAGAGATAAAACCCAAATCCCCTTCCCTTCCCAAACCCTAAACCCCCGGCTCTCAAAAACCCTAGCTTCACCCTTTACCCTCCGCTCTCTCGGTCCATCTCAGTACACTTTTTGGCCTTTTGAAGGAGCGAGCGAAAGAATCGGTTCGTCCACTGCCACGCCGAGGTGACAAGTCGTGCACGTCAAAATTCAGATAACTAGCTGACTACATTCACTATCATTTTTGACACAAAACCCGACCCTATCCAGCCGGAAGAATAGCTCAACGGTGCCGTTGGGTGAAGTTGATAGCTACAGTTGCTGTATCTCCATGCCAGCGCCTACCTTATCCATTTAGGTACAAGGATTAAAATCAGAAGGGCCCACGGCTCGGATATTTTTTGGGCGAGATGACGAAAATGCACTCGAGTTCTGCCGGCTGAGATATGGATAATAGGCGTATTATAGCCATTTTTTTAATTTATTATTTGGCATTATCTATTTTAACATCGTCTCAGCTTTATCGAACGCTAATCCGTCGGAAACAAATGAACGGTTGGCTTAGAGGCAATTGTGCCATGCCAATTTGTCCGCTTTGAAATAAAATATAAGACAATTCGACTTTATAAAAAATTTAATGGTTTTGTTGATTTCATACTGAAAAATTTTAAGAGATAAATAGATTTTTATGTATTAATTTTGTATGAAGATTTTACACATATAAAAATCAATGAATTGAACATATATATTAAAATTTTTAAGTGGAATATTTGAAAATGAAAATAATCATGAAATGTATCCCATATTATAACACCCCGAGTTCAGAAAGCGCAGAAAGCGGTACACCCTGATGACACTAGATACGATGAATAGATAAAAAAACATATATGATATTCACAAAGAGAACATGCATATACAAATGATACAATATTATATGTATATATATACACACACACACATCAAAGTAAACAGATGGAGTGATAAAAAATTAGTCCATTAATAAAAGTTCAAATAGTCAATATATTCAAAATAGCAATAGTTCTGATACAAGTCCAAAGAAATATAAATATAACAAAAAAAAGGAAAAAGACTATTCAACCCTCATAACAAAATCATAAACATAATAAACTACTACAAAATAATAAATATTAAAAATAGTCTATTGTTGGTAACCTTGCTCCTGAGGTGGCGGTCCACCAAACACGTCTGTCGGACCTATTGAAAAAGGCTATCGGCAGCAAGCAACTAGGGTGAAAAGGAGTGTGGCATGCAGTATGAGCAACCAATAGGTGAAAATAACCTAAAGTCACCAAACCAAAGAAGTAACGACACATGTCATGCTCCATATAACAACAATATAATATACTAGTATCATTAATGTATGTATTAAACTAAGATCAATGCAAGTTATTTTAATGTCCATAAATACAATCACTCTAGCCATCATCATTTCTCAAAATAACCTATCAGTCATTTATTACTTCCAATATATATCCACTTATTTTTTCTTATATTTAACATATATTTTTATTATCGGTTCATCGTATACCCATCATCGAAAAGACAAACACCAATTCAAAGAAATATAGTGATTTTCTATAGAGTCGTCACTTTAAAGGCCCATCGATCCCAACTAGCCAAAAACCAATAAGGTTATACTAATATACACACAATCACACAATACAAGTGTTGTTACAAATAATAGGCATCTTTAATATATATATATATATTGTTGCGGGCTAGAAATTACGCGGCGATAGAGATTTGATTCTACGTCTTAGCGTTGTACGTATAACTAGCACACACAGAGAACACAAGATTTTTTACGTGGAAAACCCTTAAAAGGGAAAAAACCACGAGGCCTAGCCCAGTTGAAAATGATTCCACTAGATTTTGAATTGGTTACAAAGGACTGGATCACCTCCAGGGGGGAACAGATTACAATTAATTACTTAAGTAAGACGTCGAGTCCTCGGTAGGACGTAGGGACCGAATGTCGGGCCCTGAGTAGGACGTCGGGTCTTCAGCAGAACGTAGGGGCTGAATGTTGGGCCTTGAACAAGACGTCGGGTCTTTGGCAGGAAGTAGGGACTGGGTGTCGGGCCTTAAACGAGACGTCGGGTCTTTGGAAGGACGTAGGGACTGAACGTCGGGCCTTAAGGTGGTGGTCCGGCGAAGTCCCTGCGGTGGTCCGGCGGTGGTCCGACAAGATTCCTGCGGTGGTCCGGCGAGATTCCTGCGGTGGTCCGGCGAGGTTCTGCGGTGGTCCGGCGAATTAAATATGACAATTATAATTTATATAATCAACATGATTTATAACGATAGTATCATATACTATAATGAACAAAACTAATGTGCTTTACCAACATAACATTATTGTATTCAGATAAGATCATACATGAAAATACAAAATTGATACACATGAAGTTATGCATCAATATATCAAGAATATTTCATTTATGAAGTTTGCATATTCGATATGAGCAATGATAAATATTTACTACTTGTTTGATCATGCTACAGAAGTTAATATAGATATGGCAATCTATATAGTTATAAAGGAACATAATATAATGGGCGCAGATTTCACCCTAATAAAGAATGGTACGCTTATACCAAAATAAACAACAATTACTTATAGTGGTTGCCACAAACTCCAACCTTGAAAGTGGCCCGCTCGATTCCACCAAACGACAATCCTACAACTAGCAAAACAAAAATATCATTAAGCACGTTTAATGAGGCATAAAGAGGAATATCCTAATCAACCATAATAACGCTAAGAACACCAAAATTAATCATGAAATGATACAATATAAAAAATATATGCAAAAAACCTAGGGCTTGGTCAAATCGAACACCAAACCTAAAATGAGAACTCCTCTGAAATAAATTAAAATCCATAATGATGATGAATAAAGTCAACATCAAATCAAATCTAGTCAAAATACTACAAAAGATGATATATACTACTATATCTTGAGAATAAAGAGAAAGAAATAAGGAGAAGAAAAAATAGAATATTTTGGACTCAAGAACTTACTCTAGGCTGTTGTTGCAAGCAATGAGCGAAGAGGGAGGAAAAGAGAAGATTTTGGCAGCTGCTACAAGGGAGAACGAGGAGTGGAAAGTTTCCCTAAGTTCTATTTCTCCTTAAATGGAGAGAGTAGCAACTAAGAGCGGGAAAAATCACAAGAGGTGGAAGAATCACATGATTTGCGTGATTGAAGAGCGAAAGAACTGTGGCTAGTCTGGTGGAGAAGGGGTGGAGTCGGGCAGCTAGCTTGCGTTTGCAAGAGAAATTCCAAACTGGTTCAGTTCGGTTCGAGTTATGACACATATGAAATGAATCAATAAGTAAATAGAGATTGCAAAGCTAAATTATCACCTCAACTGAAAAAGATGGGCTTACAACTATTAAAACATTAACTTTACCTCCTTTGGTAGTTGGGATTGTTTGATAAAATTTATGAAAGCATTTGGATGATGTCAGATGAGTGTTGGCATTTGAGTGATGACAGTCAGACTAAAGGAGTTAAATGATAAAAATTAGATGATAGTGCTTTGGCAACAACACTTAAATAATGATAATCAAATGAGGTCGAAAGAATTGTGAGGGCGGTGAGGTGATGATGGGATGGCGTCATGGTTGAGCAATGGTAGTTGGATGACGGTAATAGTTGGCAGTAAACATTAGCATTGAATCATGTAGAACTCTAAAATTCATCAAATCTCCAAAGTCCCTCCAATCTTAAGTTAATGTCCTCTCATGTGGAGAATGGGGATCTTGTTATAGTTCTTTAGATTGAGATTTTAATAAATCTGGTCAAAATTTTATAATATTATATTGAACGTCATGTATTAATTCATTTGATCACGGATCATTTCTTTAGCATTGTAGTGACTTAAAGAACTCAGAATTAAATGATACTGACCTCATTGGATTCTTCCTATCCACGCTTGATCAAATTATAATCATATCAAAATTGGATATCATTTGGTCCTCAGTTAACATCATGAAGTTTTCAACTACACTATAATTTCTTGATTTAAGTTTTATTTATAATTAGACTAAATCACTTTTTAGCGTCATTGAATTCATCTTATCAAGACATTCAATTAGACTATATATTTGTTAAATATAGAATTTGGACAATCAACAATTTAATATTGAAAATTTTTAATTCTAATACTATCTTGAAATTTATGCCAAATTAAGTGAATCTTCACATGTACATGACGTATAGTTTTTGACATCTAATAATTGTAATAAGAGTTTATCATTACGAATGCATAAATACGCATGTATAAATGAATGATGCAACACATGCATTTGTAAATTGCTTAAATCAATAAATTATAAATACACCAAAATTGGACTAGATAATGAATTTAAAATATACCAAAATTTTATATGAATTTATTTTACTTTATTCTGAAAAACTCACATTTGAAATACTTTACATGTGTTTTACTTCAAACAAAATAACCCCAAACATTTAATAACAAAGCCACATTTGTTATGTCATATGAAGACATTTTGCATGCCATGCTACTATTTTTAGCTTAATATATTGAAGAGATTTTACACAAGTGTCCTAAAATTTTTATACATTTTCATATGTAATATTCAAATTTTTATATTTATTTATATAATATTTTATATCTTAATTCTATTAAAAACATAAATAAAAGATATATTTACTTAAAAAATTAATATTAATAATATTTATATTTAATTAAAAAATTTTAAGTATTACATAAATAAATATAAGTATTTAGATATTAAATATTTAATTCTTTAAAAAATTTGTGTTATGTATGCAAATTCCCTATTAAAAAAATGGTCGACCCCATCATTGAACCTCCATCGACCTTGTAAATTTCCTTGCACCTTTTTAAGATTTCAGTGAGTATACTACGTAATTCAGATAAAAGTGATTATAAGATCTAAGAGATTTTCCTTAACAAAATTATCTTAATTTATTTTATGCTAGAGGATTAATTCTCTCATAAGTAAAAACTCTCATAATTAATTATATCCATCCCATAAAAAAAAACAATCATCATTAAGAATGTCACTCACAAGATTATCAAGCGATGACCCAAGGGGAGTATTAATGACTAGTCCAACTAAGATCCTATAGTTCTATCATGGTGGGTTAAACTTTAATCAAATTTGCCTTAGCCCGATCAAATGTCATTCAACTTATTTTGAGCCAAACTCGAGTCAATTAAATATCGAATAGTTCACGTCCCTACTCGTTATCATCATCATTTAAAAAAAAAAAATTTAATTGATGATACTAAGGCTCATTTGGGACAAGCTTTTGACTACTGCTTTTTTGCTGCTTTCAAGAGATTTTTATACTGACAAGCTGTTTTAGAAAGCAGTAAAAAAATTATGCCAAACGAAACCTAACATGGATTCAGAAACTCCGATTGTGGTGTGACTCAAAATCCCATCCAAATTGGAGAACAATTACCTGATAGCTAAAAGAGCAGTAGTTCCTATTTTTCGTCACATCAGAAAGAGTTGGAGGCAAACCTTAGAATTTTTACTGTCCAGCCATTATTAGACAAAGCTTTGAACATCACAGACATTGAGTTGAACAAATCCATACGTTTTTATCTTTGAAAAGAGGAAATGATCCCAGTCTTCAAACTTGACGACAACCGCCTAAAAACACCAATTCTGCAGTCATCCTGCAGAAATTTACTTGCATCAGAAAATCTCAAACAAGTTGCAGCACAACCAAGTTCTACTATCATGCTGAAATTTTCTCATAAATTTGCAAAATCGGATGCCTAGTCCTTGATCGAGGAGGAACAAAATCTATCTGAAATATTTGAAAAGCAAACTTCCCGAATATAAATGCAATATATATGAAAAGTTGCCAGTGCAGTTTTCAGCTATTCTTTACAATGTGAGTATGACCGCTTGTGATGCAAATGTCATTTAAACTCACAAAAAATTATATCATTTATTTGCGAGCTTTCTAGTTTTCCAAGGAGCCAAAAATAGATGTATATTACCATGCTAATTTTTTTAAAAAAAAAACTGTGGCTGAGAAGCATTCATCTAAGGGAATTAGCTACCTTGTTGATGAATAATAAGCTGATTGGTTGTTCCCTCATGGTTTCATCAAATAAGAAGAAATAAGCATTCCATGGTGATCAAATCCTTCATGGTTTCATCAAACAATCTGCTTGATGCTCACAATTGGTTGTAGTTGAGCTCCGATATGCATGAAATCAGAGCGTGTCTAACCACTTGATTATCTGAATCAATGGAGAGAACTTCCTCAAAGAGAGACTTTGCCTGATGCAGAAGCTTTGACTTCTCTCTGCTGTTATTTCGACGGAGATGTGATCGCTGTTGCAGTACCATGCCCCACCTATACAGAGCTGCATTTCCATTCATAATTTCAGAAGACATTTATATGCATATGGTTCACAGAGAAAAAAAGTTCTTTAATGTCCATTTGTATATCTGTGGCAAATAAATAATTTAATAGGAGAGACCGAGAGGGGAGCCCAAATGGTGAAGAACTCATAACCACTAGTGGACTTCGGAAGAAGTTTAGGCGTAAGGTAAATCAGGACCTCTAAGAAGAGTATTTTGCAAATATGTCAGAAATATTCTAAAGCAGTCTGAATCAAATTAAAATTGTTTGTCACTAAACAAATTGTATATGATCATCACAAATTTCAAATCTCAAACCAACCAAATATTTGGTCTACAAATTTTAATTTTGATTATGAGATCATCTGAACTCTTATCTTCAGCAAACATTCGGCGAGACTAACCCAACCATATCAAGAATACTTAGATTCAAGCTCAAATAAGCTTGCCTGAAAACATAAATCAAAACTACTTGGGCCATTTGGAGATCAAATACCATTCAAAATTTGCATGTTTATAGTTAAAATAAGTCCAACAAATCTACAAGTTTGTTTTGGGTAGCTTTTTTATTGCTTTGCCTTTCAAAATGGTGTCGCATTTCAATTTGACAGCTGTTTTATTGTTATTTTTTATAGATTTTTTAGGTGAAAATTTGATTTATACAACTAGGTCTACTATAATGTAGTAGTTGCAAAAAAGCTAGTCTATTATTTTTTTCAAGAAAAATGAATTAATAATGGCAGCAACAACTTTCAAAAGGTTGCTTTCCTTTCAACAACTTTGTAACCGCCTTTGAAAAAAGTTGGAGGTGCCTAAACCATCCCTAAGAGAGTCAGTTTTGAGTTAATTAAAACAAAAAAAAAATAAAAACCATCAAATGATCAACGAGGATTCAATTCAAAATACCATTAAAGTATCATATTTTTAGTAGAAATGATAATGATATCCCTCCAGAAATCTATACATAGACCATGTTCTACATACAATGAGAATTTTGAGTGGAGAGGATTCCCTAACATGGTGAATTTCGGAGTTATGCTCGCCACAACCTGACACCATTCATTTACCCGCATTGTCACATGCCTTCATCAACATCAAACACCGCCCATTGATGCCAGCTATCGCCACCACCCTACATTGAACATTAACTAATGTCAACGACCATCTTCACCATTGCCAAACACTAGTTGTCAACTAATATCGTTGTTCATCGTCGAGGCTCGCCGTCACATCCAAAATGTATCATCTATCAACCAACATCAATGCTCACCCTCACCACCACTTAATACTATTCATCGATCAAAATTGATGCTTGTCATTGCCACCACCCAATATTGTCCATCAACTAATATCAATGTCGGTTATCGCCAAGCATTGTACGTCAACGTTCATTATTGCCATCACTGAATATCAAATATCTAATAACACCGACATTCGTAGTCATCATCACTTGACAATATATGTTAAACAATACAAATGCCCCCCATCGCAACCCCCCGATGCTTACCAGCTACCATTGTTTGATGTCCACCTACCAATGACGTTTGATTCAAACCTTCATGACTACCTATACACCCCTCCTCTCATATAAATAGAGACAAGATGACAGTCAAACATCGCCCCACCTATAATGCCCCTCGTCAACTATCGCTCGAAACCTATCGCAAAATAATGTCCAACACCATTATTTACCATCAACCAATCTCTCCTTTTAAAAGGAAAGCAATTAGTATGATTGCCTGACCTTTGATGTTCATCATCAACTATTGTTCAATGCATGTCAACCACCTGTGCTCAACGCCCACATTCAAGGGTCATTTTGGTCTCCCCTCTTGCATGAAAGTGACAAAGCCGATCACCCCAAGTCTCCCGAACACCAATGTTCCTTGTCAATCTTTACATAACACTTGTGGATGATCATATATAATATGGCCATCCACATGTTGGTTGAATCATCCACAAGGAAGGAGTGGGAACCTAGACACATTTATGCATGTGATTTTTGTTTGTATTTCACTTAGACTCTGATGGACCGGACCGCCCGGTCCATCCCGCACCCGCACCGGCCCACAAGGGGCCAGTTCTCGCCTACTGCAGGCGGAGAAAACGCCCGCCTGGGCGTTCGGCCGAAGGAGAGGGAGGAGTCGGGTGGGCCCAAGGGGACCACCAAATGTAAGAGGGAGTTTGTTTTGTTTGCCCTAGGGGTAATTAGGGTATTTTGGGGGGATCATGTGAGGGTTAAAGGGGAGTTAAGGTTTGTTTTGGAGGCATCTTGTTTTGGTGGCTGTATTAGGTTTTCTAATCTAGGGCTTGGGAGAAAGCTTCTCTTCTCGAATTGAGAGCATTGTATCCGTGGAAACTTGTAAGTCTTTTGATATTTAAGTAATCGAAGTGTTTGTGAGTGTTTTCATCCAAGAAATCTTCTATTTTTCCACTGTTTTTGGGCTGTTTTCCTGGATTCCGAATTTTGCAACTCAAGTTCCATCAAAGTGGTATCAGAGCACTAGATCCACAAGGAAGGGATGGGTACACGAAGGATTGAATCTATTGAAGAGAAAGTCGGAGAGTGGGAAGTAGAGTTCACCGCCCTCAAAGAGAAATTTGCATCCGTTGACGAAAAGCTTGATGGAGTAGAAGAGTTGAAGACTCAAATGTTAGGGTTACAAGAGATGATCAAACAAATGGTGGCGGGCCAACACAACATGGGGGGTCGGCTAACCCTAACCCTAACCCTAATCCTAATGCGCAGCCGGTTGATGGTGAAGGTGGAAGTAGGGTTCGTGAAGGACCTAATGCAAAAGGGAAGGAGGCCATTGACATTATCGACCATGGAGGGGATGCATGGTCCGCCGGCCCAAAGGGGGGCATGTATGGCCCAAACCGTGGAGGGGAGGGCTACTCCACCGCCTCATTTATGGGAGATGCTAGGGCAAGCTATACTCAGAATCATCCAGATCAATTTTACCAAGGAAGGGAGGGAGGAAGCATGCCCTACAATCAGTGGGGTGGAGGATCATATCGAGGCAGAGGGGACGAGATGAAAGCCAAAGATACATTATGGTAGTTACCTTTATTTTCATTAGTCAAAATTTTCAGCTTCATTGATTATAGACCACCAGTATTAATTCTATTTCATTAATAAAATTTCATTTTATATTTCGTATAATTATGGATTTATGTTTCTTTTAATTTATATATGAAAATTTTTTAAGACAAAATTGCTTCACTTGACCTTAATTCATGGGATTTGTCTCATCAACTAAGGTCAAGTCCTTCACATGTTCCGTCTTGTTGGTGTGTGCCGCCTTCCAAATCCAATGTGTGATAACAAAAAATATTGAACTTAGTCTCGAGTATGATGCATTATAGGAGAAAAAGTTAATTTAGATTATAGTAATTTCATAACATCAAAATCTTCATATTTATTGAAATAACACACAGGTTATTTTATTTATAGTAATATCATCCAAAAATTGAAGAGTTGCAATAATACTATTAACTTTCATTATCAATGATTTCTTGAACACTTAATTATTTATATGTATCATGCGCAAATGCAAATTTGTGTTCAGTAGTTTATTTCAGAACCTTGGGTGTTGGTTTTATAAATAAAAAAGATTTCAATGCTATACTCTTAAATCTCACAAAAAGATTGAGCAGAGAAATTAAAGGGAATTTTAAATGGATTAAGATTATACCATCTGGCGCAAAAGCATTACTTCCTGACATCATAGCATTGAATTTATCAATTGCAGCCAAATATACCTTGTCGGCATCCATGGCTGCTTCCTGCAAAAAATCAGAAAAGCAAGCTTATATTAGAATTGGTAAAGATACGTGCAGTAAAATAATGTAAAATAACAGATACATCATGGCATGGGCGGAACCATGTTAGCTTGGGCAGTGGTTCATAACATGTATGAATGAGTTTCGGTTCGAATATTATTTTAAAAGAGTTTTGCACCTTTTTGAACTTGTCGAAACAACAAACTATATTCTAGCTGTTATAATAGTAGTTTATATGGTAGAGTGTATGTCGTTGCTCGGCCTCCACATGCACCTGGGGGTTTTAAATGCTCATAAGATACAGGGTATGATTTCTTTTCAGAAAAATGGTGGTGTCGGTGAGATTTCTCTTGTTTAGCCATCCCATGGCACTTTGATTCCATGGTGGGTAGGATCTCAATCACTGTGTGGAGAATCTTTGAGTCATTTGAACATTTCGATGATAAGATTAGAATCCAGAATGCATGTATTACTTGTAATTATTTTTTAATTCATCAATTATAATAAAATACAAGTTTTTCTTTTAAATTTTGTCTTTATATTATTTTTTATATTAAATTATTCATTTATTAATTTTTCCCACCCTGAAAAACAAAGTTGGTTCCGCCCTTGATTCATGAGATAGCTTCTGTCATATAAAACAGTTATTTGATTCTTTTACCTTTCAATTTTCTTCCAACTAAAGTGAATTTGTAGTTTATGTATTGAACACTATCGGTAAATTTAATTGAAGCCTAAACTAAAATGGATATTGTAGCAGTTAAAGACATTGGCATTTGACAAGATTATATCTTTATCATTATTAGCTATCTTTCCCAAAGAGAAAAAATAATCAAATAAGAAAAGTAGAAAACCTTATTGCACCGTAGATGCAGGACTTTTGAATGGTTTAGCATATTGCCTACTACTAAGTCTAATCATAAGCAACTGGATAATTGTCATCATAGCCTAGAATCTTGGATCTCTTTCTTTACAAATTCTCCTAAATGTCCTACCTATTACCATCCACCTCAAATTCAGCAAGCTTGCTCAAAATCATTATTAAAAATTATATAGAATCAAGCTTTGAAAACAATGAAATATTGATTTATCCAAAAAATAAGAGATTCACCACTAAGGAGTTGCATTATTCTATATTCTATACAAATTATGACCACCATCGCTGAAATAATTTAAGCATTCAAATTTTAGTTTACTTCCAACGTCTGTGATGCAATGCCCTGACTGAGCAAGTGAAAGGTTTACACATTCAAAAGATATTTAACATAATAATGGATTAAAAGATTACTACAAGAGTTACATATAAATCTAAAACAGTTAAGACACTTCAGCTTAAATATAATTAGAATTGAAAATAAGCAGCATAATTCAGAATGAATATATCCTACATAATGATAATCAACAATTTTAGCAACGTTGCTGATTGGAGATTTTGAGAATAAATTTAAAGGATTGATGCTTACTGGCCCAACATCTGCAATCAACTGAGCACGAAAGCAAAGAGCAATTCCCCAATTGTAAAGAGCTCTAACATCATTTCCATCAATTGATAAAGCTCTTCTATATTTTCTTCCTGCCTTAACAAGCAGACCTTCACATTCTTCACATACAGAAACAAGAACAGATGCAATTTCCTCTCTATTTGTGACAATACTGTCATTTTTTTTAAACAAAGAATCACTTCTCAATAGAAGAGTTCTTAACTCCCGAGTAACTTTCAATTTTAGTTCCCCGTGAAGGAGGTAAGTATTCCCCAACTGTCCCACAGCAACTAAGCTCATCGGCCTCATATCTATAGCAGCAGAAAGTAAGTCCGCAGCTTTATACAATGTAGCATCTGCTTGTTCTTCACCAGCTTGAGTCATCATGAACTCTCTGGCACGTGTCAAAAGGTAAGAGGCCTCCTTTATGCCATCTGCAAACTTTTCATCCATTGATATATTTGAAGTTTCTGGCATCTTACATTCTCCCCTTGCATTTGTTGGTCTCTGATTACCAAGACTGGGATGATTTCTCAATGTAGAAGTGCTTTCTTCAAAATCAAATCCATTGATTTGCTTTTCTTGCAGCTCACTGCTTTCACTTCTACAAGAAGGCTCATGCACCCTATTTCGAATTTCTAAAGTATGTTCATGAAGAGATGACTTGGATTCCCTTGTCAAGTATTCCATATTCTTTGTTCTTTTCTGAAAGATATTTCCTTCTGCTGAATCATTCAAGTTATTATTGAATGCTCCTCTTTCATAATTTTGCTCGAAGACAACTTTTTTAAAGCTACCACGGTTAGTCATAAAGCGCCAACTGCTGCTACTACCGTTTTCATTATTGCCTTCTTCATCAAATGAAAGCATATCACTACCTGCACTGCCATTTTTAAAATTATTCTCAACACTATTCAGTATAGAAACATCGTTAGTGATGGTGGGTCCATTTTTCCATAGATTATTATTAGATCTGTCCTTCCCTGGTGTTGTTCTTTCTATTCCTCCCCGCTTATCATTAGAAGGCATTCCATATTCTTCAACATTAGAGCTTTGTTTATTGACGCTACGCAATTGTCTTCTACTCGACTCCCCAAATTCATTTCCTGCAACCATTTCCCTCTCTGAAACTATAAAAGGACCCTTTGCATCCACTGGATTCAACTGCTGACCAAGCTTCTCGTTAATGCTATCCTTTGGTTTTTTTGACTTTGAACCAATCACAGACTCGTGGAGCATACCAGCAAAAAACTGGAAAAAATCAATCCCACTCGCCCTCAATTCCACTGTTTTTCTGCTTGATTTCTGATTCAACTTCTTAGCCCCGACATCAAAATCAATATGGCCCTCAAAAAGGTCATTACTGAAAGAATCAGTCAAAGTTTTTTGCGCTTCCCCAATAGCCGTTCTAACATACTCAACAATCTGAAGGTAATTAGTCTCAACACGGCCCATTCCAAGCTCGTCCACATTAATACCACCTTCAAGGCCATTCCTTAAATATGACATCTTACCATCCAAATCACTAAACAAAGCTTCCAGCTGCTTTAATTTCTCTTCAAAAACACCTAAACCATATCCATTTCTTCCCATTTTCTTATCCACAAAACCAGCTTGAGCCGCTCCAATGGCAAACCCCCCAAGAAAAACTAAGATTGAGACGGGAAGAAGAGAAATAGTTAAAAACCTAACCCTAGAAACTGTCAAAGCTGCGAAAAAACCCAGAAGGAAGGGCAAGGCGTGCTTCTTATCATCAAATCCTAAGGCAGTTATGAAACGGCGAAATGGCTCGAGCAGACCAGAATCTCCTGCCTCCTCCATAAGCTCCAGTTCCTCCCAGCCGCCGTAAATGGAGAAATCTGGATCGGGTGATGCGAAAGTAGAGCAGAAAAGATTGACGTGCTTCCGGCTCCAGGTACATCTCTGACGAGCCGAGTGAATAAAGGTAGGGTATTTGATGGACGTCAATCTAGAAGAGAGAGAGATTACAGATTGGCGCACAAGGAAACCATCGAAGATGAGGGTTCCCATCTCCCGCAAGAGAGCGGGAGAAATTCCCAGATGGAACTATTGAAGAGGATGGTTGAGTCCTATCTTAAGAGAAAATGACGCGAAGAGGAGGAAAAGCCAAGAAGGTCGTTTATGGAGTCGTAAAGACTAGGGCTGGAACAAACCAAACCTTCAACCATCTACTCGTTGTTTGATTTGATTGAAATTTATTTGTGATTGTTTAATTAATTAAACAAATAAATTTGAACAGTATTTTAAATAATCAATTTTTAAATAAACAAATTTGAACACTAATGTATTCTGCTCATTTATGCTTGTGAAAAATATCATTTAAAGCTCGTGAACAAGCTCGACATTAAGCTCTATTCGTGTTTGATTCATAACTTTTGAATAAACTCTATAAAAAATTAATTAATATTTGATTATAAAATTGATAAATCTACATAATATAAATGTTTTATATTTATTATAACATAATGATATAATTATTGTTAAATAATAAAATTTAATCTAATTGAATATTATAATATATGCTAATTAAAAAATTCACTAAATATATTCATGAACATAATAGATGTAATTGTTTGTTAGAAGTCTCGATAAAACTCGTTTGTTAAGTTAATGAACATTTAGAAGTAGAGCTTGTTTATAGCTCATTAAGGCTTATTTGTTTAAAGCTCAAAAAGCACTAAATGAATCAAACATGAACATTCATTAATTTAAATGAATCAAACATGAACACAAACAATAAAGTTCGAATCAAACATGAACCAAACTTGAACAAGACGATAATAAATGAACTCAAACATTAAGACTCATATACTCGACTTAGCTCGATTCGTTTGCAGCCCTAGTCAAGGCTAGGGGTGTAAATGAAGTCTAGTGGAGTCGCAGAAAGTCATATCAAGTTTAACTTAAAAGGGTGAACTCAAACTCAAGTTCGTCGAGTTATAAACAAGCTCAAGCCACTCGCGATCCTTGGCAGTTCAGTCGTCTTTCGTGCTCACGAGCACGGTCTGGCGGTCTTCCACGACCACAAACTCACAAGCCTCGGGGGTCCAATCGTCATCCGCGCCCACGAACTCCACGGTCATCTCGTTCGTCTGCCTCAAATTGCGAAACAACGAGCGAGAGCGGGACCTGTGAAACAACGGGCATGATTTGCGAAACAATGGCGGGAATTGTGAAAAAGAGCTACTAGCAAACCCTAATAAATAAAATATAAATTATTTAAATATATAAATAGTGATTCGAGCCAGCTCATGAGCCAAACCTCATCAAGATCAAGCTCATTGCTCGATAAGCTCGGCTCACAAGCTCATTAACAAGTCGAGCTCGAGCTGCCTCGGCTCACTTACACCCCTAATCAAGGTGCTTCTCTACAACGAGGATTAGGAGAAATTATTAACGTAGCTTTATGTCCATGCTTCAATGAAAATCGTGACATATGGATTTGACACATGGATTTCGTATTTTAGTTTGCTTTTGCTAGCCTGACCAACCCAGCATAGAGGTGGTAGTTTTGACTTTTTAAAGAAGGCCTTCACCATCCCGTTCAATTTTAGAGCTTAGGATTGACGCTTTTTTTAAGGAAAAAACCCCACGAGTCATCCCTAATATCTAGGATTTTAAAAAATGAGGAACAACCACTAACGATAAAGAGTGGTTTGGAGGGAGACATTGCATTCTTCGAGCAGATGATATGCACACATGACATAGAGACTGAAAGGCAATATGCAAACATTCAGCAAGACTTGAAGTTGAAAAATTTGTAGCTTCAAGCAATGCCATGTTTAGGGTATGAAGCAAAAGTTAGGTTGATTGGAGATGCTATATGTTTCAACTTATCGATAAATTTCAAATTCCTTCATAGTTTTTAGGGTTTCCTATAACAACACGTTGTATACATGTTTGTAGACAATCAATACACAATCAATATATACTTTGTATGTGTTGTGTATTAACTACATATTTAATATTATACAAGTTGTGTATTGATTATGTATTGATGTGTGACAGCTTGTACACATACAAGCGGTATATTGATTGTGTACAAGCTGTGTACTAACTGTGTATTGATTATGTATAAGCTGTGCATTGATTATATATTGATTGTGTACAAGTTGTGTACTAACTATTTTTTGACTGTGTACAAGTTGTGTATTGACAGTGTGCAGTTAGTACACACCTTGTACAACATGTGTACTAACTATGTATTGATATTATATAAGCTATGTATTGATTATATATCAATTGTGTACAAGTTGTGTATTGACTCTAAATTTATTCTATACAAGCTATGTATTTGATTGTGTATTAATGTGTGATAGTTTATACACATCTTGTATAAGCTGTGTATTGATTGTGTGTTAGCTGTGTATAATCTTTGTATTGACTATGTACAAGCTGTACACACCTTGTACAAACTGTGTACTGATTGTATATTAATTATATACAAATTGTGTACTAATTATTTATTGACTTTGTATAAGTTGTGTATTAATAATTATATATTGATTGTGTACAAGCTATACACACCTTGTATAAGTTGTGTACTAATTGTATATTAATATTATACAAGTTGTGTATTGATTGTGCATTGTTTGTGTACAAACTGTGTATTAACTATATATTTTTATGTATAAACTATTTATTAACTATGTATTCATTATGTAGCAGCTGTGTATTATTTTGTGCATAAGTTGTCTATTTGATTGTGTACAAGTTGAGTATTAACTACGTATAGATGTGTGATAGCTTATATTGTGAAAACTTTTTTTTTTTTTTTAATTTGACATAGAATAGTCAATAATTATTTCAGAAATCATTATAAGTCCAAATCATAAACCGTCTTTGTCGAAACATTTATAGTGAAGTACTTTAATTATCCTATTTTTTCATAATTTTTGGAACTGGTGAAATTTCTTAAGAAATATACAACTGTCAGTACAATTGGGATTTTTGAGACCAACATGTTACCATTTTATAAATATATTTTACCAAAGTATTTTAAACATGCTGAGCTTATTTATGATTTTTTTTCAGTAATTTTTCGATTCCCATATTTAAAAACATAAGAACTTAAATGAAGTTTATATTAAAATTAAAATTAAAAAATTAGAATAATAATATTTTATTATAAAATTATTTTCAGAAATGGAAAAAAAATTAAAGACATTTTGCTTTTTGATTTCGTTAATAGAGAGTTTGGGGAGGAAATTACAGGAAAAATATATAAGAGAGAAATTTAAAACCACATTTTGGGCGACTTCAAGCCATTTTCATCTGTCAACCTAGTTGAAAAATTTATTTGTCTCGAGATAAGTCACATTATGCCCATCTCAATTTTAAAAAATATGCAATTTTTAGTAAAATTTTATTTTTGTTAGCGAAAAACCCTGATAATTTTGCATTGATAAAACTTTTACTACGTAACTTTTTATATATTATAGAGATTACGATCATGCACATTTAGAATATTTTCTAAAAAATTTATAATAGGAGTTTTGAAATTTGTTGGATTTATTTAATAAAAAATTATATGGATATTGAAAAATAGTGGTGTAGTACAATAAAAATCTTAAAATATTATTTTACACAATTTCTAATAATTTGATAATTTTCTAAAAATATGCATTTTTGCCTAGATTATTTTTGTCTAATGCTATATAACACTAGTCAATTCTGACACATGCTCAAATGCTCTTTAACTGCTATAATGTGATGATATATGTGCATATATAATTAAATTATATCTATTGGGAGTTATAAGGGGTTATAATCCTATGAGATTCTATGTGTATTAGACAATTGCTAAGAGATATAAGGGGTTAAAATCTTTTGAGATTATATCTAAGATAAGGATATTTGATGTCTTTTTGTGCCATAAGCACTAAAAGGGAGTGATAATGGACCAAAATCCTTTAAGGTTTTGTTTGAATATGTGAAATGTGATATGAACTACTTTATGATATGAATTTCAATTTATTTATTTGTTTAGTATTGTTATTTAAATTATGCAATAATTATTAAGCATTTATTACATCTTTCAGTATAGTGATATATTTAAATTGTATTGCTTTTAAATATTTATCAAAATATTTAAAATTTTAGATTGGTTTATTTGATCTATTGAGCTGTTGTAGCTCACTTTGATTTTGCTTCTGAATTTTAAGATCTGGGAAGGAGAAGGAGATTATGGATTAGCATTTCAGGATTAGATTTAAGGTTCTAGGTATTTCTCTAATTTTTTTGTACCAATTTATTATTCAGTTTTATAGCTCAGCATATAGTCATGTATTATAGCGTAGATATATATTTTGATGAAATAAAAGAAACATGGTGGATGAATTTTTTTTTTATATTTCAATATTTTAGTAGCTATGTAGTCTATAGTTTATTTTAATAAATATTGATAGAAAATTTAAAATAATTCTAAAACTAGATAATAGGATTTGCATGTCATAGCTCAACACAATAGGACCAGTCATGGTCAGGTTTGGTTGTGACAAATTATACAAATTTTGTATTGACTTTATATTTAATATATATCATGTATGTATTAACTGTGTATTAATAACGTACAAGTTATATACTAACTGTGTACAAGCTATATATTGATGTGTAATAGTTAAGACATAGTCAATACACAACTAATACATAGTTGATATATAATCAATACACAGTCGATACACTGCTAATACAGAGTTGATACCTAGTTGATATGTAGTAGATACACAGATGATACACAATTGATACACATTCGATACACAATCAATATGCAATTAATACACAATTAATGTACAGTTAATACATAGTTAATAGATAGTTAATACATAATAAACAACATATCAAAATAATTGAAATTTATTTGTCAGTGTACTTTTCAAAATATTGATCCATGAATAATTATTTTTTCTTGGATAGCATTTCCTTACCCTTGAAATCCATCATTTTACTTGCAGGTCTAGCGACTATAGGAAATGCATCCACCAGAATTATTGCTTCAACTGCAGGTTCCTCTAATGTAGGTGGGAGCCCTATTTTTTTCTTCTTGGTGTCAATAGTTGTGAATGGCATCTTGATGAAATGTTTGCTTTGATCTTTC